CTAGAACAAAAACTACAAGTGTTTTAGTAAAAACAAATGTCATAACTTTACACAAGATGTCAAACTTTAAAATGCGTTTTACTCAAAATGTGGGTTTTTTACGAAAAACTCAAACGGGGGCAGTGATTGCTGAAAAAGTTTTGAAAATAATTTGCTGAAATTTTTTTGAATGTTCTGTGTAACAGTAGAAGTGTTTTGACCTTCAGATTTATCAACCACTGTTTTATATCAAAATTTACAATCCTTTATGTGAATGTAATCACTGTTTTTTTAAGCAATTTCACATAATAACTAAGATAGAGTGCTCTAGTTTTTGTAAAAATTAAAATATCTATTATCCTGAAAATCGCTTCATACATGAATAACAAAGTAACACATTAACATTGAAAAAGTGAGAATTTGTTCAAAAAATTTTTGTGCACCGTTTATGTAATTTTTTATACTTTTCCACCAGTTTTTTCCCCTTTTAATAATAATAATAAAAAAAATTTCTGTTTTCACAATTTTAGAATTTTTTCTTTAAAATATACTAAATAAATCTAAAAATTCCTATATCTCCATTTTTTTTTTTAAAAAAAAGTTGTCGCAAGTAGTTGGATAACATAAGGGAGTATTGTTTTGGGTAACGTATGTTACTCGTCATCGATTCACTTTCCAGAACAAAGAAGTTGTAAAAGGTGATTAAATTTATATTTTCTAACTAATCGTTTGTCACAGTAGCGCGACGGAGAATATTAGAGCCCCCTGCAAAGTCAGGTTTTGGGACCCAAGCCTAAATACGCACTTAGTGTTAGTCAGCCTTTGGCCCTCCCTAGATAGAACCCTGGCCCGCGCGCAATGCGGGGGTGTACGCTACGCCACTAGTTTGTCATGGCACCGTAACCTTTAAAGAATTTGTAGCTAAGGTTGTCTTACCTGCATTTCGTTGCAATTGTTCTTGTATAATAAAGATTGCATTGGATGTGGGTGACTTTCATTGATAAGAAGCTCATAGGGGCTGTAAGAGCAGCAGTTAATATATCTCGTAGGAAATCGATTTTCCTGGCGTGATGGGGAAAAAATTCGACGGGACTCGATGCGATGGATTCGAAGGAAATATACTGCGAAGCAGAAATGGAAAACGGTGATCTGTCTAGAAATTACAAAGTCATACTGATTAGGAAATAGATGGCGCTTTTTCAACAGCGGTGTTTAACAAGTGTATCCTCAACAGAAGCTACAGTGATGTGTAAGAAGGAGAGAGAAAGGAGCGGTAAAGAGAGTCAGAGAGTGAAATTGTGTGATAAAAAGTGGGTGAGTGAGTAATATTTGTTAACGTCTGTCTCACTGTAAGGCAACACGAGGGCTGTTGGCAACGAACCTCGTAATTTGGAGCCTATGTCAAATGAGGAGGACAACACCTGAGCCGACAATTCCCTCTCCAAATTACGAGTGCTAAACCACGTCAACGGGAGGATTATAGCCTCGACAGTTTTAACGTTCATCAACCCCGCTATATAGTAGGTCTTCAGGGGCACTTGGACTCCAATTTCTGATCTTGATCTGGTGTTACTGTCGATCAGGTGGCATAAGGAACAACAAGTAGTTGTGTAACACAAAGTTATTTGTTGTGAAAGCAATATGTTATTTGCGTGTGTGGAAGTTCAATGAAACAAAAATATGTCGTTCCGATTTAAATGTTTGAATAAATGTCCTTTAAATGTCTTTTAAACTGTTCTTTCCAACGCATTGCCATGTAATAATTTTCCTTCCAAATTTAAAGTCCTTGACAAATTCCAAACGGTAGCCTCTTTATTTTCAAGGTTAACTTTTTTTCAAATTCTTATTCTTAATGTAATGTTTTGCCTCAAAATGCGCTGAAAAAGTGAAATTGTTTTCAACAGTCGAGCAACACCCAGAATTAATGATGCAGGAATAGTAATGCCATTGTTTTTTTAAAACTCAGTGAATCTTCTTTTTAACTTTCATTGTATTTTTTAAAAAAATAATCGTCTATATGTTTGAAAAAGAACTCTCGCTCTTCTCCTGCTGAAGGAATTTGCTATTTTTGAATATTATTTTAACTTCTCGGATTTCAGACAGACTTTCATGCTTTTTTTTCCCCAGACATTGTTTTATGCTGCTATGAACATGTAGTTTTGCGTGTGCGATCTTCATTAAAACTGAAACTGTGATTGACATTAATAACTTATTAAAAATTCTTAAGTAATTTTGTTTTGTTTTTCATTATGAGAATTTTAATTTAGATTTTTCTTTGATATTCATCATGGAAAGAGATAGAATTTTTTTTAATAAATGAGTTCAGTGCTTTTTAAATTCTCTATATCTACAATAGGGTGAATTAAAACTTTTATTATCAGAATTTCAAAACCTACATATGTGGGAAGAGATGTTCTCTGAACGATGAAGGGGAAAATAATATAAAAAATTACCTTAAGAACTGTCACAAGGCGAATTAAGTTTAGGTATTTGAGGTTTTTTATGGCAAAAAGTTGAAGGAAATTTTATAAAAAAAGCAGGTACTTTTGTGTTCTTATAACATTTATGGCAATGGCACATTCTAAATAGTTACAAGAAAAAAACATTAGGTACATTTAACAGCTTCTTTAATATTACAGTGCACGGTAAAACGTAAGAAGGGAAAAAGCTTGGGTCAGACTGATTCGACGGTCCTAGTTATTCATTTAGACAGGGACGCATTAAGCTTAAGACTTCTTGAGGCCCTGGGGCCCCTACGCAAAAGTAGGCCCTTAAACAAATGTACGTCTCACCTGTGACCCTTAAAAGTAGACAGTAAATAGCAAATATTCTTACAAACAATAACCCTATACAGACAAATGTGCAGGACTTACAATCACATAAACCGGCTGGACCGACTCCTGCCTTTTGACTGTATGAGTAATGATGGTGTATGGTGATAGACCTAGGTCAATGCATAGACGACGGTCTTCAAATGTAGCCAGTTGACACATTGTCCGAAATTAAGAAACAATTTTTTGGAGAATAGAACCAGAAAAATATCTGGCAATTGAAATTATTCAAATCATCATCTTTAGGCTGAGTCGAAAACGAGATGATGCCCTCATTGTGGCCGAGGCCCTGGACCCGGGTCCAGTTTGCCCATACATTAAGACGTCCCTGCATTTTGTCCTAGTACTCATTTATGAATATTCGTCGTGTTGTGTTGTGAGTTTTTTTTTTTTTTTTTTTTTGGCTTTTTCCACTGACGAAACATAATTTTATTTTGAGTCCAAAATCATCAATCATAATTAAGTCTTTTTCCATTTTTTCGAAATTTTAATTCCTTTGTGCCAATATCAAATTTTGAAATTATTTTTTAACTTTTTTTTTCTCATCTCCATACCATAGAACATATTTCCCGCACAGCTACGTTTCGATTATTAATAGTTATTTTTTTTACCGTAAGACCCTGCGAATCCTCCTTAATCGGCGGCCCTTAATGTACGTCCAATGATCCACCCTTAACGTGCAATTTTTAATCACGCACGTCACATTCACTGCATTCTCCGGCTTTTAAATTCCAGCAAATCAAAACAGTTTTTTGAACTCTGATCAACAAAACACCTCGATTATCTGTCGCTTCTGCTTAATCTCCCAACACCTGTTTTCGATTTTTGCTGATGGACAAGGTTATTGAATAAATTGATGTACTAAAATTTTTTTCTTGTCATCATCAACCGCTTATTCTGTTCTGTTATCTGCTGCGATCAATGTATACAAGTGCTTAACAACTGATTACTTAATGACTTGGTACTTTTGCATTTCCCCGGCGCATGAGATAAAGTCGCCAAATATTATGCAACTAACGCCAAACGAAATATTCCCGCTGGTAACCTTTTACCACCACATTTTCAAAACATATTACGGTCTTTTTTTTATCAGTAATGAACTTGGTACTTATGTATTAACGCAACAATCGCCAACTCTTTTAATAATTCGCCAAGTTGGCAATCTCGATTTCCTATGCGTCGTATGATCTGAATTGATAACCAGGTGCTTCGTTTCATATAATGTCACCAATAGGTTGCGATAAAACTTGGCGAGATTTGCGCTGGCCAAACGGAAAAGTACCTATGTCTTCTTAGTATGCTCCTTCCTTTGTAGCTTAGAAAGGCTTTTACGAATCCGTAAAAACCTCTCATCTTATTATAGATCAAAAAGCTTAAGAGTTTTATTTTTTATTGACATTTCATCTGTTACTTTTCTGTTAATGCACTCTGCGCGCAGATTTCATTATGCAATATTCACTGTAATAATGCCTCGTTACTTTAATGATTCTGTTTAGCCTTGATGTCTCTTTCCTGCCTTCTTAATGTCTTGTGAAAAGAGATTTCCGTACTTCAATTACAACACCTAGAGTTTCTGCGAAAAAATCCAAGGGAGCACTTAAAGAATGTTTTAATATTCATTGAGCATCCAGATACTTCGAATTTCTTTTCAACAATGAATACATGTATATATTCAGGGTCTTTTATTATTTATTGCTTATGATTTACTAACCACACTTTTCAAGGAATTTCCAATTCTTGTTTTTCTAATTCAGTCACCGTAAGCAACTGTTATCTTATGCTGTTTGTGATTGTGTCTGAAAAAAATTATTTTTGTTATTTACGCTGAAAAACTTAACGCGGAGATAACGAAAAAGTTCCATTACTGGTTGTTGCTATTTCCCTTTTAAGTGTTTTACAAACCTTTTTATAATGTCTTACCTTTATATTTAAATAAAAGTAATAAAAGCATGCATTCCGATGCAATACAAAAAAAAAGGGATTGTTTTAAAATTTGAATGTTAAAAACTTTTGTAGAATGTACCTTTTAGTTGAATGAATGTGTGTTAACGTCGTTCGCACTTATAGAGCAACACAAGAGCTATTGGCAACGAGCCTCGTAATTTTAGACCTCTGTCAGGAGATAAGGATGACACCTGAGCTGTGGTACCTGAGTGTAGTAAAAAGAAATCACATTATCAGAAATTAGGCCATCCCAAGTGGGATTCGATCCCACAACATTTAGATTACAAGTCCAACGCGCTATCCATTGCGCTACTGGGGCACAACGAGCAATTTTCCTTTCTATACATGCTGTTGGACTATTATTTTTGTTTGTTACTGTTTATTCATTTTTTAATTTAATTAATGAATTAATATTTGAAAAAAACTGTATTACATCAAGTGTCCTCCACTACAAGTTTTAAAAAAATGTATTTGAACTTGAATAGATGAATAGAAAGTATTTTATTAAGGTATCCGACTACGTTCGGAACCGTGATTTTAAAAAAGCGCATAAATGGAAAATTTTCATGATATTTAGTGTCACTCAGATTAGAATACATGCATAAAATTGTTTTAAGGACATTTTGACGAAAAAAAATTTATCTAAATATAATATTTTGGGAAAAATGGTTCTATTATAATGATATTTTGCCTGTATATAGCTCAGACCTCTGTACAGAGGTTCAACTAGAATTTTTGAAAAATTCACATTATTTTCAGAGTTACCATCAATTGAAATAATTTTTCGCGTTTTTTTCTTAAAATTGCTCCCCTCTGTTGTCGTAAAATATGAATATATATATAAACCCACTTCTAAGTTATTTACTTCAAAAATTCTAGCCTCTGAACAGAGGTCTGAGCGGTCTATATACAGGCAAAATATTATTATAATAGAAGCATTTTTCCCAAATTGATTGATTGATTGAATATTAACGTCGCACTGTTCAGCTACACGAGGGCTTTTGGCGACGGACCACGTAATTTTGAACCATGGTCAAGTGACGTGGACGACACCTGAGCTGGCACCCCCTCTCCTAACTACCACACCACACCAACGGGAGGACGTTTCAGCTCTCGACAGATTTAACGTGCATCGCTGCCCTACACGGCGGGTCTTTAGTGGTACTGGGCTCGAACCCGTGACAAAGCCAGCCACGGTCCGATACCTATACCACTCGGCTACCGCGGCCACGCATTTTTCACAAAAGGAGAACATTTGGAAAAAAGATTATTCTAAGTTAATTTTTTGCCAAAATATTACATTTAAATAAATATTTTTTGTCAAAATGTCCTTAAAACAATTTTATGCATATATTCTAATCTAAGTGACACTAAATATCATGAAAATTATCCATTTTTGCGCTTTTGAAAATCACGGTTCCGAACGTAGTCGGATACCTTAACGATTGAAAATTTGAACAAGATATATATTTTTATATATATAGGGAGAGTGTGGAACTATATATAATAGCAGGAATTGAAAAATTAAAAACTCTTTACTTAAGTTGTGGATGGGGAGAGGTTATCAGATAAAAAAAAATTCCCCATTTTCTTTCGTTTTTCCCCGATTTTGGCATAAATTTGTGAAAATCCGAGCTAAAAATACGCAGAAATTGCGCTTCAAACGTGACATGCGGCGACGTCACAGTAATTGTGGAGGTATTCACCGATAAGGAGCTAAGCCAGCGCGTGATATCAACAACGCGGGAGGCAGATGGACTTGGAACTTCTCGATAAGCGAGAACCGAGGGTGCTGCTCTTCTAGACCGCGTGGGGTCTCCTCACCTTCGCTGTCATTTGACGAATCACAATGAAAGCGACCTTGTTGGAAGAAAAATCTACCTTTGACCTGCTCTCGGATTGAAGATGTTCTTGCTGCTTCCTCTTCAAAAAAGACAATGTCTAGTTCTCGTCCCCTCCTCCCCCTTTTAAAGTGAGCTTTTTTTCTCCATTTTCCTCTAGTTAAAAGATTAAGAAATGCATCCACTGTGGTCTTGCTCGTTCATGAATTCCGGACTTGCATTGAATACTTTCTCGAGTGTCAAATGTATCATAGTTTTCATTTGTTTGATATTTGTTTTAAGAGACAGGTTAAAATGTGCGTAAAAATTGAGAGGAGGACTAAATAAGTAAAAGTGTTATGACAATAAGATCTGTTTGTTCCATAAAGTAGTAACAAAATGAGTATTAGTGGAACTTCCATAGTTATCTGCGTTGTCTTCTTAATTCTTTATTAATTCAAAAAACAATAATAATAATTTTTTTTTTTTGCCTTAATTTCGTTGAATGTGTTAAATTTTTTTCCTTCGATTCATTTTTTAATATAATCCATGGACTACAATATTATTTACAAATTGTTTCCACTATGTAGTCTTAACTTACTGTAAGATCTAAAAATATCAGTATTTTAAAATCTGACTCATCATTATAAATTATTATTAAAAGTCAATATTAAAACAAGTAGTAGAAAATAAGAATTATCCTTCTTATATATTAAGTATATAATTTGATTTTTTGTATTAATATTCATTATTAAGAGATGGACCTCGTAATTTTGAACCTTGATGAAGGGACGAGAGTGACACCTGAGCTAGCACCACCCTTCCAAATAAACCACACCACGCCTACGGGAAGACTTTGAGCCTCCATACACTTAATATGCATCTTCCCTCTCTACCCGCCAGATCTTCAGTTACAACATTCATTATTAAATACAGTCGGACCTCCATTTTACGAACCTATATTTTACGAATATCTCTATTCTACGAACTTTTTCCCAGGAACCAAGAACGTAATACATATGGGAAATGAATTTCTATTTAATGAATTTTCTACATAACGAACTTTTTTCCCCGAGATTTAGTGTCTTCGTTAAATAGTGGCCCGACTGTAAATACTTTAGAAAAAAATCTATATTGGAACGGAAAATATATATTAAAAATACAGTGCTCGATGCATGTTGATCATAATAATCACTCATACATGTTGTCCTTTTCCAATATAGTTATGAACTATATTTTTTTCTTCAATCTAATGCATCAAAAATCGACCTTTAAATATTTATTACGTTACTATCAAAAAATATCTTTTAAAAAATTTAAAGGACATATATTATGATTGCAATATCAATTAAAAATATTCGCTATAAACCATATAAAAAAATTATCAAAAAAAATTCGTTTCTCCTATTTTTGACTTCTCCATTGATAGAAAACGAAAGAGTACAGTTACAGTTAGACAAACACAGAAATCTCAGCGTGGCGGGAGACAACAGACACATTCACACACACACAAAAGTTCTCAATAAAACCCCCTACCTTATGTGGCATCTTTCACAAACATTGTTCGAAAGAAAGAAAAAAAAATCAATAAGGGCCCGAAATCATAAATCTTAGAATCTAATCTAGTTGGAAGACTATATATATTTCCCCTTCTCTTTTCTTTTCTTTTTATCTTTTACTTCCTTATCTATCTAGAAGCATCTTCTTATTTTTTCTTCCATAAATTTATGGTTTCTTTTTTTCCAACCTTCCCCCTCTCTATGAGACACTTTCTTTTCCTTTGTCCTCCTATTGACAAAGCTAGTGACTCCATAGCTTCCGAAGATCGTGCTTCGGATGCAACAAAGCTAACTGAAAAGACACACAAAAGAGACTCTTCAATACCCACGTTAAAAAAGTAATAACAGTTTCTACGGCTGTTTTAGATGTGTTTAAAATGATTTTATGTATCTGGAGATTTAATGTGAAACGTTTTCAAGGTGAATGGAGTTTGTATTTCCCTATATATATACACATTGAACGCTTGGTTATTTTGCAATATCAAAGAATAAACAGTTCAATGAGTTTATTGATCTTGATTTTTGTAGAATGGATTTAAAATATCAATTTAAGAAATAAATGTTTGTTTTGCCATTTATGCTTACTTTTATCAGTAGCGAATTGTAATTTCGAAAAATGTATTGAAACAATGAAATATAAGGCTCTTTTCGCCATATACACAAGAGAGTGAACTTAACGTGCAGCGCATTTTCGAACGGAAAAAAGGCCTCCATTCTTATAAAAAAAATTGTGACATTGTAACTTATGCATTTGTTTATAATATAGTGTTTTTAAAATTTCAAAATATTTCATAAATAATTTGTTTTTCCTTTTAACATGAAAGGGACAACTCATTTAACATTATGGTATAGGAGAAAAAAATGCGAAACATATTTTATAAAAGAAAAAATGTGTCAACTCTGATAAAAATAAGTAGTATGATAAAATAAGTAATTCTCTCTGTACAGGATAGTGAAGCCAGAACATAATATTAATTTTTGAGTACTTTTATAACTGAAAAAATACTCCGAATTTGGGTCCTATTCTTTAACATTAGCCGAAAACAGCCTTAAATATAGGTTCTAAAACTTGAGTATCTAAAATATATCTCTTATTTTTCTATAGCAGCGCGTATCAATTTAATTTATATACAATTGAAAATTCATTTAATAATGAATAAAATTAACGTTAAAATATTCAGAACTTTAAAGCAATATAAACAGGTTGCTATTTTTCTTAAATCTTGAGATTTTCAAACCATCTCCCCTTAATTTAACTTTCTTCCCAGAATACGTAGCGATCAAGCTATTTTGATTTTGCAGCAAACTAACATATATATAACCTTTTAAACTATTATTTTTATTCCAGGAGATATCACATGGTATTAAATCAGTGAAAAAGTTAAACATATTCCATGTTTAATCTTTCCATTGAAATTCAGAGGGGAAAAAAATTCCATTGCTAAATAGTCTATCTAATTTAACTGTATGTGTTAAAAATATAAAAATTCTTGTGACTAGATCAACTATTTTATTATTAAAATATGTTAAACCATCTTTATCAATAAACTTTTTATAACTAAAATATGTAAATGGGAAAATTAGTAATTTATTGTAATATACAGCTTTTTGTGATAAAAATTTTAATTATTAATAATTAACTCACGCAACCCTATTCAATTATAAACTGAAAATTGCCGACATTTCCTGAACTACAAGCTGTACATATAATTTAATTTTTTTTAAAAAAAAAAACTGACCATTAAAGACAAAAATGTTTTCAAAATTTTTTCTCTCCACAATTTTATTCGAATATTAAGATATTTAAAATTATTTTTTACATAAAAAAACATGTAACGAGTTTATTTTTAAATGACTTACGTATCCTTCCCTGTTATTATAAAGCCGATGTTATATAACGTATAATATCACTAATTTTCATTGTTATACTGTGTACGACT